TCTCTTGTTGCGGAGCACAGGCTCTGGGGCACGAAGGCTTCAGTAGCTGCGGCTCCTGGGCTCTAGAGCACAGGCTCAGTAGTTGGGGTGCAAGGGCTTAGTTGCTCCGAGGCATGTGAAATCTTCCTGGACCAGGAATCAAACCCATGACCCCTGCATTGGCAAGCGGACTCTTAACCACTAGACCACCAGGGAAGTCTCAGATGGTTGGAAATTTTAATTGAATGTGGTTATAAAACCCAGGTTATTCTGTTCAAGAACAAAGAAAACTCCCTACATTACAGCAAGTCACATGCAGATAAAAACACAGCAATATTATCCAAATCTTTAGAATGATTATATGAAAAGAAACCCCAAATCTTTCTAGAATGGGCCAGATAAAGTTCATATATCCCAAATGGTAGTCTGGTTTTCATTCTTTTTTAAGCCTAGATGTATTTTAGTGTGGCCATTCCTATGTTGTGAGTTTCTGTCATTGTTTGGCAAGTGTTAACACTCTACCTAGTAAGTCTCAAGATTCTGTCTGTTTAAGTAAAGCCTTGCTTAAAATTCATTTTTTATTTACCCCTCAGAAGTTCACATGACTAACTTTGAAGCAGTGAGTAGAAATCTCCTACATTTAGCCACCAATCCAGGCAAATCAGATGCTAGTGATTTCCTTTATGTTCTTTTTCCATAGCAATACATTTAAATCCAATTTTAATTTTTTTTTAATCATTGTAAAGCAATCAGATAACTGCTTTACAATGTTGTGTTTCTGCAGTACATGAATCAAATGTAAGTATACATACATCCACTCACTCTTGAGCCTCCCTCTCCCCACCCCACTTCCATCCCACCCCCCAGACTGAGCTTCCTATGCTACACAGCAACTTCCCACTAGCTATCTATTTTACACATGGTAGTATATATCATCAATTGTACTGTATCTTCTTACCAGTGATAAAGTTTTGAACCAGGATAATGGCCACCTAGGATACAGACTAAATTTTCCCAATTCCATTTGCAAGTAGGAGTGGCTGTGTTGCTCAGTTCTAGCCAGCAGAGCTCAGTGGTGCTGTCCTTAGTACCTTCAGGGAGCTTCCTTCAGAAAGCTGGCCAGTAAGCTGTCCTCTTCTGGGTCTCTTCCTCCATCTGATTACAAGGAGTAGGTCTTGCATCTGACTTTCAGGATGAGGATTACACCCAACTGACATGGAGCAGAGGGCAGGAGTGGCCTGGGCCTCAAGAGGCAGTTTGTTGTGATCCACACAGTCAAAGGCTTTAGCGTAGTCAATGAAACAGAAGTCAATGATTTTTTGGAATTCTCCTTAGTACCTTCAGGGAGCTTCCTTCAGAGAGCTGGCCAGTAAGCTGTCCTCTTCTGGGTCTCTTCCTCCATCTGATTACAAGGAGTAGGTCTACTTCCATCCCACCCCCCAGACTGAGCTTCCTATGCTACACAGCAACTTCCCACTAGCTATCTATTTTACACATGGTAGTGTATATCATCAATTGTACTGTATCTTCTTACCAGTGATAAAGTTGTGAACCAGGATAATGGCCACCTAGGATACAGACTAAATTTTCCCAATTCCATTTGCAAGTAGGAGTGGCTGTGTTACTCAGTTCTAGCCAGCAGAGCTCAGTGGTGCTGTCCTTAGTACCTTCAGGGAGCTTCCTTCAGAGAGCTGGCCAGTAAGCTGTCCTCTTCTGGGTCTCTTCCTCCATCTGATTACAAGGAGTAGGTCTTGCGTCTGACTTTCAGGATGAGGATTACACCCAACTGACGTGGAGCAGAGGGCAGGAGTGGCCTGGGCCTCAAGAGGCAATTTGTTGTGATCCACACAGTCAAAGGCTTTAGCGTAGTCAACGAAACAGAAGTCAATGATTTTTTGGAATTCTCTTGCTTTTTCTATGATCCAACGGCCATTGGCAATATTTGATTTCTGGTTCCTCTGCCTTTTCTAAATCCAGCTTTAACATCTGAAAGTTCTCAGTTCACATACTGTTGAAACCTAGCTTGAAGGCTTTTGAGCATTACCTTGCCAGCATGTGAAATGAACCCAATTGTGCGGTAGTCTGAACATTCTGTAGAATTGCCTTTCTTTGGGATGGGAATGAAAACTGACCTTTTCCAGTCCTGTGGCCACTGCTGAGTTTTCCAAATTTGCTGTCATATTGAATGCAGCACTTTAAAAGCATCATCTTTTAGGATTTAAACAGCTTAGCCAGAATTCCATCACTCCCACTAGCTTTGTTAGAAGTAATGCTTCTAAGGCCCACTTGATTTCACAATTCAGGATGTCTGGCTCAAGGTGAGTGACCACACCATCGTGGTTATCCTGCTCATTAAGACCTTTTTTGTTAATTCTTCTGTGTACATTCCGTGTATCCTTTCGTGATGCAAAGAGCCAACTCATTGGCAAAAGACCCTGATGTGGGGAAAGCTTGAGATCAGGCAACAGAGGATGAGGTGGTTGGAGTGCACCACGGACTCAATGGACATCAGTCTGAGCAAACTCCAGGAGATAGTGAAAGCCAGGAGAGCCTGGCATGCTGCAGTCCATGGGGTCACAAAGTGTCGAACACAACTTGGTGACTGAACAACAGGAGGCAGAGGCATTATGCCAAACCTGGAAATTTTTACACGAGAATGCAGTCCATGTCTTGTGCATATATTTTAATATACAAATATGTGTGTATGTTAAATATGTGTTTTAAATATTTTTTAAATACTTATATATTTCAAATATCTTCACATATTCATGTTGGTTCTAGCCTGATAAGGCTCAGCATATATTTTAATATACAAATATGTGTGTATGTTAAATATGTGTTTTAAATATTTTTTAAATACTTATATATTTCAAATATCTTCACATATTCACGTTGGTTCTAGCCTGATAAGGCTCTGAAATGTTCTAGCTACTCTGTCCCACATCTAGGTTTTACTTGCACCTGAGGAAAAGGAGACTGGGCAAGATCATCTTCAAGATGATGATCAGCTACTGCCATCAAGAAAATCAATCCTCAAGGAGAGTTTACTAACCAAGAGGAGAGCCTTCTCAGCCGTATTTCCCATCAAGTCTGAAAACTGTTTTTAGAGACACCCGGCTCAACATATGCTACTTTCCCTGACTCATGCCATATCCTGCATTTTCCAATAAATGTCCTGCAATATTCAGTCAGTTCAGTCACTCAGTCATGTCTGACCCTTTGTGACCCCGTGGACTGCAGCACTCCAGGCTTCCATGTCCATCACCAGCTCCCAGAGCTTTCTCAAACTCATGTCCATCGAGTCAGTGATGCCATCCAGCCATCTCATCCTCTGTTGTCCCCTTCTGCCTTCAATCTTTCCCAGCATCAGGGTCTTTTCCAATGAGTCGGTTCTTCGCATTAGGCAGCCAAAGTATTGGAGTTTCAGCTTTTGCATCAGTCCTTCCAACGAACAGCACCAGTGAATAAAAAAATAAAAACCTAGATTATTCTGGCTAGTTAGCCTAAGTCACTGTCATTTTAGTCTTCAATAAAACTTACTCCTAATACGCAACAATGTCATTTAATTTGCAAAGGATTTCATAGTCACAACCTCTGATGTAATTATATCTAACAGGAAGGAATTCACCACTTCCTTTATACAAAAAATAAATTGGCCCACCCATGTCAGAGCTAGTTTAGTGGCAGACCTGGGATTCGAGCCCTATGCCCAGCCTCCAAATCTTTCTAGTATGCTCCAAGGTGTTCCCTACGATCCTTGAATGACCCATTTGAAACTTGTGCTTTTATAGATAATTTTGTTCTTCATGACCTAATCCCTGAACTGAAACCTTCAAGCCTATCAGAAGCTACCATTCTTTCACTATTTTTTGAGCATCAGCTCTAGGCCAGGCACTGTTCTGACCAGCTTGTATGAACCACTGAACAAAATAAAACTTCTGCCTTTGTGGAGCTTACAATCTAGTAAGAGTGGACCATGAACTTGAGAAAATGTCAGGATCTGTGTTCAGCAAACAGGACAAAAGTAGATCAAGGTGGGAATTAGTGAGAGCTGCGAGTGGGTGAAGGTTGCTGAAATATTTTAAAAAAGATGCTCTGGGTAGCCTGAAGTGATAGCTGAGCCAAGACTTGAAGGAGGTAGGGAGTCAGAGCACCTAAAACACAGTTTTTCTTTTTCTTTGAAAGGCAAACAATGCAAAAAAAAGCTTTGATTGAGTGATGGAAGGCAACATAGGCCCCAAGAGATGAGTACAAACAGTTGTGTTTCATGCCTCCAATCCAAGAGCTCAGGAGTTTTTGCAAGTTTCAGGTGCTAAACACATTTAAATGGAAGTCTTGAGGATCTTAAATACACTGCTGTGTTGAAAACAGAACTGTCGAAACTGATGGTCAACACTGCAAAATATATGCAAAGAGTGATGAGGGCTGTGTCTTAGTCACTGTTCAAATATGCGCAGGCCTGCACAGTGGCACATGGAAATGTCATTTGACTCCTTCTGGAGTGATCGCTTCCTGTTACTTCAAAATGAAAATAATGTTTGCCTGTATTTACAAACTATTAAAGTGTCCTTAACTGCACGAATAAAAGTAAAAAAAAAATATGGTAAATACACTAAGATCACAGGCTGAGAATATCATACAGCTTTGGGAACAAGGACTGCTTTTGTTTGCGGGATGGGGAAGGTTAAAACCCAAGACAAACAAGCTCTGGTGCCCTGATTACCCACAGGACAGCATGCCACAGGCTGGAGCTGACCAGTTTGCAGGCCTAGCTCTGTAATATCCAGGTAAACAAAGGGGTAAGTCCTCACCCCTGGACAGGAGGCAGGGCCAGGAAGGAAACAGTTACTTGGAGCTGCAGTAGAATGACCAGCTGGACTCAGCCACTCAAGGACAAGGTAGACCAGTTTCTCAAAATAATTGGTGGTTTCACGCAGTAAAAACAAAATGAGGATGAATGCTTGGAGCTTATTCAAATAAGAGTAAAAATACATCCAAAAGTAAACACAGCTAGAAATAGCTGAATACAAGTTTTGTACTGAGTAAAAAACTGGACAGAAACAGTTTATCAACTAGTTTATTTTTCTGGAAATGACTGGTGTGTTATTACAGCTGACTTGGGGCTGTATTCATGGGCAAGAGCATCCCCAACTCACACACAAGACCTCAAATCACACCATACCTATTATATTGGGTGGTTACCAACACAAACACCATAAAGAATTATGTGGTTAATATGTGGAACATTTTCACCGCAACTTGCAATAACTGACATTATGTCCAAAGGGTGAATGCAACAAAACAGAGACCCTACCCAGCTCTGGAGAATGCCGTACATACCAGCAGGGCAGAGCGCCCCCTGGAGTTTGAGCATGGCGGTGCACTTGTCTGCCTAATCACCACTATTCACATTTTTAACCATTTGTTGTTCTTTCGCACTTTTAACCTGATTTCACAATATAGTCCTATGAACGTTCTTAAGCGCACTAGGTTTTCTAGGGAAAAAAAATAATTTTGCATTGGGAAAAAAGTGGAATAAAGCAGAACCACCTGATTTCTTTCAGAAAGGAATTTCCACTCATCTGTTTCTTGCTGTCTCTTAACTTGTACCCCACCTGACCACCTACATATGGGTTTCTGACTGAAGGTTCTAACCTAAGGTTGGAAGGGGCACCAAGCTTGTGCCAAGCCCAAAAGCCATCGAGGTGCCATTCGCTGCTCTGGGAGACGGTGGCCTCTTACAGACCAGGATGTGATGGAACGAACAGGCTGGTTTGGGACTTACAGGGAAGCCGGGTTAACAGTGCAGCGCCTCTGCAGCTTCGGTGTGCAGCAGAGTCACAAGGAGCCAGTTAAAAATACAGCTGCCTACGCTGAGATTCTGAGTCAGCTAAACCCGGGACAAGGCCTAGACATCTGTATTTTAACAAGCACCCCCCACCTCCACTCAGCTATCTTCTGATGTAGGCAGTCTTCCACCTTCGGCTCTGAGGAGCACGTAAAGCAGTGACAAAGCGTTTATCTGTAGAGGAAAAAACCACGCACATTCCGCCAACAGACACCCTGGGCACCCCGTCCCCAGCTCCCTTCGCCTTTGGCCTTTGGATGGTGACTCCTGGGTGGTGAGGGGCGGAGTACACGTCTGACCACATCTGGGTGACCCCTCAAAAAGCCACCCCTCCCAAAGTTTCCCACTAAATACAGCTGCCTACGCTGAGATTCTGAGTCAGCTAAACCCGGGACAAGGCCTAGACATCTGTATTTTAACAAGCACCCCCCACCTCCACTCAGCTATCTTCTGATGTAGGCAGTCTTCCACCTTCAGCTCTGAGGAACATGTAAAGCCATGACAAAGCGTTTATCTGTAGAGGAAAAAACCATGCACATTCCGCCAACAGACACCCTGGGCACCCCGTCCCCAGCTCCCTTCGCCTTTGGCCTTTGGATGGTGACTCCTGGGTGGTGAGGGGCGGAGTACACGTCTGACCACATCTGGGTGACCCCTCAAAAAGCCACCCCTCCCAAAGTTTCCCACTCGGAGTCCACACGCCGTCTACTCTAATACCTACTAAATAAAAGCAACATTTCTAACTCATTTTAAGGTATGCAATTCTTTTATTTCCTTGGCCTGACAGCAGAAACTTCATTATACAAGAGCCTGCAGCTTGACAGAGCTGACCCTCGAACTTCCCCCACGGGAAGGACCCTTTTCATTCGCGGAGATGAACTGAAGTGTCTGAGATGAATTGAAATGTCCCATCTGGGTGCAAATTCCTGCTTCCCACCCAGATCATAACCCTAACGTGGAAATAATCAGAGTCAAATGGAATTCCCAAGAACTACGAAAAGTCACCCTTCTCAAATTTTTCTAACTAGCAGCTGCGGGAAATTAAGACCCAAGCGGGGGGGTTGGGAGGGGGTGGCACTGGCCCGCACCATGCATCTCTATGCATTGTCAGAGTGGAGGACAGCGGCCCCAGAGCAAGAGTTCTGGATGAGCAGGAGGTGCAAATAGCCATCTTACCCCATACCTGCCCCTTCTGTACGTAACTCCGTTAACTCATGGAGTGAAGTCTGGGAAATGTCAAGATGAGTGGTTCTAGCCTATCGCTGAAATGGGTGAGGCTCATTCAAGTCCAAGGTAAGTGTGGGGAAAACGGGCACCAAAGAGCAAAGCAGGTTAGACAGAGATGCTCAGTACTCATTCAGTTCCAGTTCTATGCTTTGGAGACCGTCTTCGCAATCCTGACATCCCTCACGCCTGGCCTCTACTCTCCAGCAGAAGGGGAGCTCCATCTAAGTATCTGGGTCTAAGGTCTACTGCCACCACAGGGGTGGTGGGCTGGGTACTGTGATGCTTGTGAGATAACCACTGGGGTGTGGGAGACAGGAGAGGTCAGGGGTCACAATACTTCAATTACAGTGGGTCTCTTTTGGTCCCCAGGAATGGTCTGCTACCAGCCAGTAATCCTGCAACATTCTCAACCCCTTTCCCCACCTGTCTTGTGCAAATGTCAAAAACAGAATCTCTGCCCAAAGTGGAGCAGCAAGTTACTGTCGGTCCATGGTCTCTGGCCCCAACTTGCCCACCCCCTGATTCTTCCATGGAAATCAGATTTCGCAGCAGTATTTGTGGTGAGACTAGAGTATCCCCATTTTTGTGTTTTTGTTTTTTCTATCAAAGCCAACCCAACAGCTCTGTCCTGACGTGCTTTCTCCCAGGGCCGAGAAAGCAGCAAAAAATGTCAATCGAGCGTGTGAAAATATGGTGATGGTGTGTGTGGTGTCGTGTTTCCAGGTGTTCCACCTCTGTCTCCTTCACGGGGGGAGCCCTCCCTCTGTCTCTCTCTCCCCAAGCCCCACACTTGCCCCTCCCCCTGCCCCGAGTCCGGTCGCTCCCATCGGCCGGTTTCCGCCACTCACTTCCCGTAGACACTCTCGTCACTGTAGGCCACATACAGAAAGTAGTCTTCCTCATGGTTGTCCTAGGCAAAGACGGGAGAAAATGGTTTAGAAACATAATCACGTTCATCATCCCTAGGATCTGGAGCCTCACACAACCTCGTAGGGTAGGCATAGGAGGTATCCTTCATCCCCGTTCAAAAGAGGATCGTGTGCCTCCCCTGGTGGTCCACTGCTTAAGACTCTGCGCTTCCAATGCAGGGGGGCACCGGTTTGATCCCTGGTCAGGGAATTTGGATCCTGCATGCCACTGGGCAGGGCCAAAAAAAGGTGGGGGGGATCAAAGCAGCAGCAGAAGTGGCTGGGATTCAACTTTGAACTCTTAAGTTCACAAAAACCTTCATGGAGAACATCATATGCATCAGAGACATGAAGCTCATTCTGGCAAGAAGAACAAAGACACAACATGACTATATATTGTTGTTGACTGCTGTTCAGTCACAGGGTCATGTCCAACTCTTCTGTGACCCCATGGACTGTAGCACACTAGGCTTCCTTGTCCATGGGATTTCCCAACAAGAATATTGGGGTGGGTTGCCATTTTTTCCTCCAGGAGATCTTCCTGATCCAAGGATTGAACACGTGTCTCTTGCATTGGCAGGTGGGTTCTTTAACGCTGAGCCACCAGGGGAACCCATTAACTATATATATTTGAAAGTGAAAGTTGCTCAGTCATGTCAGACTCTTTATGACCCCATGGACTATACAGTCCATGGAATTCTCCAGGCCAGAATACTGGAGTGGATAGCGTTTCCCTTCTCCAGGGGTTCTTCCCAACCCAGGGATCGAACCCAGGTCTCCCACACCACAGGCAGTTCTTTTCCAGCTGAGACACCGACGAAGCCCAAGAATAATGGAGTGGGTAGCCTATCCCTTCTCCAGCAAATCTTTCCCACCCGGGAATCGAAGGGATAATTATATATATATTGGGATATAAACTACCAGGGAATGTATGCTATGGAATAAAAACTAGAAATTATTATAAAAGTTCACTAATAGGATACAATTATAAGGCAGTATTGTGTGAAACCCTTTGAGGAATAATAATGCAGGTGATAAATCATGATCAAGTCCTTTACTATAGTTTATCAGCATATTTTTACAGTTTACCAAAAATTAAACCAAGTAATATCATTCAAGTTACTCCCTCCAACTGAGCTGATTTGTGAAGACAAATGAATCCACTGAAAGACTGCCTGGTGTTCAAATTTCATTTGATTTGGTATATTTGTGGTCAGAAAGCACTTCCTACTGTTTCAATAAGGACACTCCAATGTTAAAACACTATGGCAGGGCAAGACTGAGAAAAGAATTCAAAGGGACTGAATCCAGCGGGCCGCTCAACTGCCGAGGGACAAGAGACACCTGATCTCCCAGAGCCCGACACGGCTATGTGAGAGCATCCTGATAAATGACACCTCTACCGCTTGCCCCACTTCCCGGGTGTGTGGATGATAACACCTGGGACACAGGCTAGAGAAGGCCAGACGGTACGGCACTGTCGCCAGGACCATTACCTCATACAGCTGGCCCATGGTCGCACTAGTGGGAGGTATGGTGTTGTTGACAAAGAAGAATAAGGCGTCCTCAGGTCTCAGGTGGATTCTCTTCCGGATTAAGAAGTAGAACTGGCCAACTGGATGAAGGTGGGGGTGGGGTTAGAAAACGAGGACGAGGCAGAAGAAGATGAGAGGTTAGCAGGAGGGTAGTAAGATCCAGAAGACAATTCTACTGCACCTGTTTCTCAAAGCACCAGACTGGCATTATCATCTGCAGAGCCAAACAATGTCCTGCAGCTTCAGAAACAAAAAATGATATGGCAAGAAGCCTATGTGTTCCTTGACGTGCCATGGAGTTTCATTCCTCAATCCGTCTCTGCTTTACTCAATTTCAGAATCTGATTTGAAACACACTTTTTGGAATTCTTTGGGGTCCAGTGGTTAGGACTCTGACACTTTCAATGCCAGGGCCCAGGTTCTATCCCTGGTAGGGGGAACTAAGATCCCAAAGCCACATAACGTGGGGGAAAAAAAAAAAAAAACACACACACATACAGACACTTTCATGTCCATTTCCACCTAACTTGTGATGGAAGAGATCTACTGGACTCCCGTAATCTTAGTACAATCACTCATCCCAATGTCGGAGCAATGAGTGAGGTTCAGGCTTTATTTTTCACTGAGCACACTGCAAGGTTTCTAGAAGGCTGATTTTCAAAGCTAACAACTCTGGAGCAAACACATCTACCAATATCTTTCCAAGTGTCTCCTGGATGAAGTAGTTATTCCATTAAAAATCAACATGAAGAATTAACATATCTTTTGCAAATCCAAACAGTATCTACAAGATATATTAAAAAAAACCATAACTTGAAGAGGTCAAGGTACTCAGCTGAGAATCTCTATAATGTGATCTTCCCAACAAATTAGTCTGGTTTTCCTTATGGTATAAACTGGTATCACAATAACAAACCTGAATTTTAAGCGGCTTATATAATACACATCTGGTCTTTTCTTTCAAGCTCTCACACTCTGCTGCCTCTAAATCAAACAAGGTCCTACAACAATGGGGAAAGCTTAAAGAAATCAGTGATGGGAAAGAACAATTACATCACCATCGCTGAATCACCCAACTCTCTGGGGCATCCTACTCACTTTCCTCAGTTCTACCTCTTCTCAAGCCCACGATCGCATTCACACAGCAAGGACTGGGAAGGCTCTGCTGTGGGAGCAAGGGTCAGGGGAGGGACAGGGGATTACCAGTGAGGTCAGAGGGCACGAGATACTTCCTCTTGTCCAGGTCAGGCACCCTGGCCTTGGGAGCCTTCTCCACGATCACCTGGGAGGAGAGACAAAGGGTGGGAATGAAAACCGCAGAATCCAACCTAGTATGTTTCCTTCTACACCCTACAGTTGCCCTTATCTGAAGTGAGTTTCTCTGGACTCAACATAACTTTTCCATCTCTTATTCTCTCTTACCCTTTACAAAATGTACAGGGAAACAAACTTTCTTAATAAGGTTATAATTTTATTAATGAAACAACAAGAGGATAGGGAAGGGGTATTATGAAAAATAGAGGACCTTGATTTTAATTACAAGTTACCTATAAGATGTGCGTGCGTGCATGCTAAGTCGTTTCAGTCATTTCTAACTCTTTGCAACCCTATGGACTGTAGCCCACCAGGCTCCTCTCTTATGGTTCCTGCATTGGTAGGCAGGTTCCTTATTATAGGATATATACTTTCTGGCATTTAGTTGAAGCACCAAGAAAATTATCTGGATTTTCTCAAGTGGTCCTGAGTACCCACTAGCCTTATTCTTTCTCATAAATGATATTTATCTGTAAAGATACAAATAATGTGGTTTAAATGTTGTACTTCATCAAAATTTTTGAGAATGACTGCAAAAAAAATGCATTCAAGGCACCATTAAGTGAAAAAAGTGTTAAAAGTAGTGCTTATATTAATAGAATGTCAGTACAATAACCCATAATAACCCATATTGACTGTTAGGATTTTAAGAGATTTTCAGTGTCTACATTAAATATTTCTACAATACTTCCAAGTTTAGAAGGGTCATTTAATTCTGTAAAGAAAAGGAAAAAAAGATCAAAAGGGAGGACATACATGTATACCTATGTTGAGGTTTGACAGAAAACAAAATTTTGTAAAGCAATTATCCAATAAAAAAATAATTTAAAAAAAGGAAAAAAGATACATAAAAGTTATACATGTAGATGTATAAAACAGGAACTATTTTATAAATAAAATTTCAAGCAATAATTTAAATAATGTACTTAAATTTAAGTATTACAAAAACACATTCAGTATTTACATATAAGTGATGTAATATGTAATTTGATTTAAATTATAAATACTTGAATTGACTATAAAACCATCAGTTTTAGATTTTTAGTCTAGAAAATATAATCATTTTCAGTAGAAGATAAGGGAAGTACAGAAAAGTTAAAGCATAAATAAACACTGGGCACAGGTCACATAAATTCTCTGAACTTCAGCATTTAAAGGAGTAAAATATGTATGTATGTTTAGTCACTCAGTTGTGTCCGAGTCTTTGTGACCCCATGGCTGCAGACCACCGGGCTCCTCTGTCCCTGGGATTCTCCAGGCAAGAATACTGGAGTGGGTTGCTATGCCCTCCTCCAGGCGATCTTCCCAACCCAGGGATCAAACCTGGGTCTCCCACGTTTCAAGCACATTTCCTTTACCATTTGAGCCACCAGGGAAGCCCAATAAAAAGGAACACGGTAACCTTCAAACACATCTTCTACTGACACATGGAACGGATACAACAAACTCAAATAATCCATAAATCCATAGAATTTTTATGTGAAAAGGCTTTGTAAACTGTAAAGATCTAAACATAAAGATATGGAGAAATCTGAAGCTTTTAAATTTAAGGGGATGGGTTAACATAGTGAAAAACCTACTTATTTTTGCAGAGAAAAAGAATCCTGTACCAGGAAGACCAGAAGGACATGATCACACTTAAATAAGTCACAGGCACAAAATGTAAAGTGTGAGGAATAGAGTAGTAACTAACACAGTGACGTTACCATAACTAGACTTATCATGGTGTCTTGAAATGTACATTAAAAAACACTATGATGTGCAACAGGAATTAACAGTGTTGTAGGTCAATTATACTTTGAGAGTAAATCCTAAGAGTTCTTATCACACACATTTTTTTTTCTATTTCTTTAATTTTGTATCTGTATGAGACAATGGATATTCACTAAATTTATTGTGACCATCATTCCATAAAGTATGTAAGTCAAATCATGATGCTGTATACTTTATAGGTATACAGTGCCATATGTCAAATTATATTGCTATAAAACCAGAAGAAAAAAAATTTTTTAAATAAGATAAAAATTAAACGTGGAGTACTGATAAATCAGAAATGAAAAGAAAGTCAAAAGAGCATAGGACTAGACCAGTGAAGACCCAACAATGAGGCAGCAGGTAAATAAAATTAAACAGGAAGGAGGGAGCATAGCATTGTGCCGCGCAGGAACTCAGACCTGGCAGATCCAGCCCCAATTAATAAGAGATGGAAACCATAAGAAAAGAGCAACAAAGACAAGTGCATTTAATCAGGGTACATGACTGCTTTAATAACAAAACAGTCCAGCGAGAAAGGGCTTTGGAAGCCATTTAACCCTCTTTTCCGTCAACACGACACTTCAGCACAGTGAGATGCAGAGTTCTGCTAAGAACACCAAATCTCAGGATTCAGAGGGCAAAGCTCCTTTTATTATTATTATTATTATTTGTCATCAGAAAGAAAGCCATAGACTGAACAGCTGGAAGGAGTTTGGCCACTGGTTAAAATCCAACCGGAGAAATCATGAGATCTGAGTGAGTCATAAGAGCTTACAAATTATCAAATAAGTAAAATATTTAACAGCAAACAATGATAAGAATAAAAAAATGGATCAGCTGAAATTCTGCGTGAATGCATGGAAACAACTGAAATGGGAAGGACTGTTTTGAGGAAATACAGGAGAATTTTAACTAGATTTCGGAACAGGTACAATTCTGAGCTTGTAGCGTATACAGAACTATTGGAACAGAGCTTTAATCTTGAAGTTCTGAAAAAAATGGTCGTCATTTTGCTCACTGGATTGTTTTACTGGCATCACACTGCCATCTTAACTGTTGAGGGCAGCAACAGTTGACGTCTCTATTTCCAATATCTGATAGTGCAAGGCATAAATCATTCTTAAATCATGAACTGCCTTGGACCCTGAGAAACACTATGGCCTGGAGGATCCAACAGCCAGGATCAGGATCCCAGCTCAGGCACACATCAGCCACTTTCAGGAAGTTACTCCATTTCTTCAGATCCTTCATCTGTAGAAAGGGATTATAATGGTGTGAGGACTAAGTGAATGACTACAGACAGGGCACTGAAGATATTCCCAGGGACGTGGTAAGCTATCAATCAAAGTTAGTTGTCACTTGAAAATATTATAAGAGGGTAGGATGGGTGTCACCAAGACACAGTGGGAAACTTTTAAAGCAGTCATCCAAGGTCGAGAGACCAGGCAAGAAATCTGCAAAGCATCCTTTAGTGGGTAATAAGGCTAGTTCTCCTTTTTAGATGAAAACACCTTTGTACGTAATTCCTGTAATGCAACAGCCCTCATGTCTCCCTTAGTTTATAGGAAAAGTACTGCAAGAGGTTTATATGGCCCAGGTCGCTTCCGGAAGCTGTAAGAACATGAAAAGTTAGATGAAGACTGGAAAGGAATTCACCATCAGATAACTGCAGCTCCTTTAAAAAAAAAACACCTCAAATACCAAAAACCCTCCCCCAAAAGAAAAAAAACACACTCAGAGGCTCTAAAACCCCCACATCCAAAAAACAAAAGGGGCGCTGCCCCCTATAACACACCAAAAAACCCCTCCCCCCAAAAACACAGACACACACCACACAAGAGAAAAAACGCGGGGAAAAGGGACACAAAAAAAACCCCCAGACACAAAGACACCTTGGTATTTCTTCCCTGTTCCTTCTCTCCGCCTGCACTAGGTTTAAAACATAAACCTGAGTCCAAACACCCGAGAACAAGGTCTCAGTCTTTCCTGATTGTGTTCAGGTACAATGTGTTCGGAATAAACACCCGCCCACACACCCTGGAGCCAAGAATGATGAGGGAACCGGGTTACTGCGCAGAGAACGTGACCTTCTTTTCTGGGCCAGGCCTCTCTAGTGGCGTCCCCTTCCTTTCCTAATCCTCACAGAATAAAATGAAAGATCCACTGGCTTCGGAACATTTCCCTCCCAAACCCAGGGCTACAAAGGGCCAAAGTCCTCCCCATTAACGGAGAACCACCTAAGGGCGGAAATTGAAGGGAGCAAATTCCCTGGGTCTGTTATCCCTGAACAGTTCCATGCTATCTTAAAGCAGCATATGGGTGGTCCCGACCTCATCATTCTCGCCCAAAAAAGCTACATTTTGAGTACATCCCAGCCAACACATCCGCTGAGCACTGCTGAGTCACTCAATCCTAGGATCGGCTCTAAAACTGTAGTCAGCTCTAAAAGATGGGGACCGGCTCTAGGGATACGAGTTTTAAACGGTCCGCAGTCCGAACGTCCATATTCCACTGGCTCCCCCGCGGTGAAGGGCGAGCAGGTTGAGTAATTTTAGGGGCCACCCTTCCGTGCCTTTGGGCAGCCATCACGACTCCCCCGCCCCCACAAACAAAAAAATAATGTTCTAAAGATGCCTTTTACCCTCTTCGCCATTTCTTGGTAGGGCCCCAAAACAAATACAGATGGTAAAAATCCACCTTTTTTTCAGCCTGTTGGGATCTGGAGTCTGGGAAGAGGTGGGATGGGGGTCCTGGAACTCCTTTGGCCCGTTCAGAGGTGCCCCGGGCTTGTATTTCGCCCTTTGCTCGTTCATTGATTACACCGCTGCCTCGGATGCTGGGCTGACTGCCTGCCTCCGCCCCGTGACCCCTCGTTCACCACGTTGGCGTCATGTCTGGGTTTTTGCAGCAAATCTGCTCCTAGAGCAGCAACATAAACAGAGCATGACTCAGGGAACTGAAGAGATGGAGCAGGTGAAGGGCATGAGGTGTGATCAAGGTCCAGGGAAGTGACGTCAGTCGTTACTACTAAGGACTTTGCATAGCTTGAGCTATGGAATTGAATGACAGATCTCAGAAGTTAGGTCTGTCTTCGGAAAATAAAATATAAGGCGATTCAGGCGATTAACTCGGTAGTCCTCAATTTTTTCCCTGATGCAAAAATTCACAATTCACGGGAGGAGGGTACTCCTTTCCAGACATGAATAAAGTGCCACCTGAAGGGCTGATGGAAGACTGGAGGTAATTGTCACCTCCCTCTGGCCCTCCACTGTCCCTGCTAAGACAGAAGAATAAGGCCTTTTCAACCACTACTAACAAGCGATTGTAGGGACCTGTAAGGAAAGAGCAGCAGAAACCGTAATATTAAAAAAAGTGAAGATACAGAATGAGGGACTGCTGGGCCCTGAAGAAGTCCAGGAAGTTCTGAAAAATGACAACTGTGGCCCAGGTCACTTGTCATCTTTCATCAAGATCTCAGGATCTCTGATTTTAAAAAAACTCACAAATGAAAAGAAACAAGGAAAATGAATTAGATAGCCCTACATTTTTTTTCATTTTTAGGATTTTTTTAAATGTGGGCCATTTTAAAAGTCTTCATTATATTTGTTACAACATTGCTTCTCTTTTATGTTTTCATGTTTTGTTCACAAGGCATGTGGGAATCTAAGCTCCCCAACCAGAGATTGAACTGGCACCCCCCGCATTGCAAGGTGAAGTCTTCACCACTGGACAGCCAGGGAAGCCCCTAGCCTTTGTTTTAATGTTAATCTGTTATAGCCATGCTTTCCGGGAAACAAACTCACTCAGAAGGACAATGCAGATAGTGGAGTGCAGATAGTGGAGTGCAGTTTATTACACCGGCGGGCCCAAGGCAGAGTCTCCTCTTAGCCAAGGGCCCCGACCAGCATTTGCGAAAATCTATTATACCCAATGTGTACGTGTCCAAACCCACCAGCCCAAATCCCTTGAGGCTTACAAAGGAAGGGTAAATACAATCACAATAACCCCTGTCATTCAACAGTTAATAATCAATAAGCCTGTGGTTACATTCCGACAGATACTGTCCGGAGGCAGGGGTGATTAGAGTCGGTTTTCTCTTAACCTGGATGTGATCTTCAAGATTCCCCTGCCCAGCCTTCCATTGTCATTGCCACAGGCGCTAAGCACAGAGTTCAGAGTCCACTGGAGAGGCGGCCTAGCACGATCGGCAGGGACAGGCCTGAGATGGAGTCCAGGCCCTATGAATTCCTTCTTCAAGTCATTTTTCTCCATGGCATTTTTCAATCCTTATTATGTATGGAAATCCAGGAATTCTTGTATCACATTATATTTTTGTAATGTTTAGTCCTTATTCTCAAATTGATTATTTTAGCTGATTTGAGCTTTGACCCACATATAGCTAAATCTCTCAAAGGAATACTTTAAATTCAATGGAGAAGAATGTTGTTTTCCCATCAAATCTACTGGAAACAATCAGAGCTAGTTTAAAAATGATTTTAACTTTTATTTTAAAAATACCTAACCACGGTAGCAAATTACATAGAAAAGATACCCAGAAGATGAAATTTCATTAACCTTTATGCCTTAAGGCCTTTCTAAACGCAAATACTTTTTCACAGACTAGCCACTCTGTCAACCCGTTACAGCGTGCTACATATACTTGTAGCAGAACATTTAAAATATTATACAGAAGGTAAGGGCTTCCCTGGTAACTCAACAGTAAACAATCTGCCTGCAATGCAGCAGACCTGGGTTCGATCCCGGGGCTGGGAAGATCTCCTGGAGAAGAAAATGGCAACCCACTCCAGAATTCTTGCCTGAAAAATGCCAAGGAATCTTGCAGGATGCAGTCTATGAGGTCACAAAGAGTCAGACATGACCAAACAACTAAACAACAACAACTTTCAAAGTCATTTGGTGGTTTTGTGGAAAACTAGGCATGCTCTAACAATACAATACAGTAAAATTTAGCCCACATGTGTGGTGACAAGGCTTCCCAGATGACTCTAGAGGTAAAGAACCCACCTGCCAATGCAGAAGATGTAAGTGACATGGGTTCAACCCCAGGGTTGGGAAGATCCCCTGGAGGAGAGCATGGCAATCCACTTCACTATTCTTGCTTGGAGAATCCCATGGACAGAAGATCCTGGCGGGTTATAGTCCATGGGGTCGCAAGGAGTTAGACACGACTAAAGCAACTTTGCATGCGTGCATGCACATGTCATGACAAGTAATCTTTTTCTATTTATTCCAATATATTACTTCTTCGTTCCTCTATTGCTGTTGTTGAGTCTCTGTCAGGTCAGACTCTTTCATAATGCTTTGGACAGTAACCTGCCAAGCTCCTCTGTCCAAGGAATTCTCCAGGCAAGAACCCTGAAGTGGGTAGCCATTCCCTTCTCCAGGGTATCTTCCTTCCTCCAGGGTATCTTCCCCACCCAGGGATCAAACCCAGATCTCCTGCATTGTGGGCAGATTCTTTACAGTTTGAGTCATCGGGGCAGCCCAGAGAGCAGAACATCTGTTAATCAAATGAGGAGCAGCCACAAAACCACCTGAGACAAGATTAAAGGGACCAGAGAGACTCATTAAGATTAAGAGACTGGACTAGTAAAACCCTGCACACACCCTAATCTTGTCAGCAAACCCATCCTTCTGACACTTTGCAGAAGAAGAATGCAAGACTTAATTACATTGATCCTTATCACAGACCCCTACTTGACATGGCCGAAAGCAAAGAGGGAGCCTCTAGGAGCCTCTGATGAGGGTGAAAGAGGAGAGTGGAAAAGCTAGCTTAAAGCTCAGCATTCAAAAAACAAAGATCATGACATCCGGTCCCATCACTTCATGGCAAATAGACGGGGGAAAAGTAGAAACCATGACAGGTTTTATTTTCTTGGTCTCCAAAATCACTGCAGACAGTGACTGCAGCCATGAAATTAAAAGACATTTCCTCCTTGGAAGAAAAGCTATGACAAACCTAGACAACTACCCATTCCGGTACTCTTGCCTGGAGAAATCCATGGACAGAGGAGCCTGGTAGGCTACAGTTCATGGGGTCTCAAACAGTTGGACATGACTGAGTGATTAACTAACTTCATACTTCATTTTTGTTGTTCACCCCAGGCTTCCCTGTTCACTATCTCAGCGTTTGCTCAAACTCATGTCCACTGAGTTGATGATGCCATCCAACCATCTCATCCTCTGTCGTCCCCTTCTCCTCCTGCCCTCAATCTTTCCCAGAATCAGGGTCTTTTCCATTGAGTCGACTCTTCGCATCAGGTGGCCAAAGTACTGGAGCATGAGCTTAAGCATCAGTCTTGTCAATGGATATTCAGAATTGATTTCCTTTAGGATTGACTGGTTTGATCTCCTTACTGTCCAAGGGACTCTCAAGAGTTTTCTCCAACACCATAGTTCAAAAGCGTTAATTCTTCAGCCCTCAGCCATTTTTTATGGCCCAACTCCCCAGTCTGTACATGGCCACTGGAAAGACCATTGCTTTGACTACACGGACCTTGGCTGTATACATGAAACTAACACAACATTGTATATCAACTATACTTCAAAAAAAAAAAGGAATAGAAACTTATGCATGGTATTTAAAGTAAAGTAGATTTTAGAAGTCAGCCAAAATGTAGGGATTTTACATGTGTGTGGTGGGAAGGTGCTTCTCTTCACAAGTCTTGTAGAGCTATTTGACTTTGCAATCTTGTCTGAAGGTATACATTTGAGTAAAAGGAATAAACACTAAACTAGAGAACTAACAGCAAAAGGTTTTTCGGTTTGGTGTTTAAAGTCTGAGGAAACTGAGTGCAAAGCCAGCTCAGGCACTCAGTTTTCTGCCAGTCATATCACTTCTCTGTAACTTAGCCTCAAAAGCTGACCAAAGGGAGCACGTTGTTTAGAAAATTAAAAGGGCCCTGTAGGCATTCAGAAAGTTATGGTTACTTACTAATTGTTTGACACCTCATGAACTTTTGTCCACTTTGAATTGGATTTGCATTTATCTACTTTGGTGTTCACTGAGTTTGAATTTACATCCCTTTTCGGGAGAGAGAAGAGAGGACCTAACTCCTCCCGCCATGGTAATCAGAGTTAACGTTGGAAGGAAAAGCAAATCCTAAGTCTAGTGCAGGAGCGGTGTACCACACAAATCCTGTATAGGCAAGTTTGATACACACACTGGGACCAAGAAAGGTCCAGGCACTCAGAACTCTGGTATCATTTGTGCAACAGCACAGTAAGAACCAAAGGGTAGTGTAAACACTTGTCTGTGTTCTACCTGGGAACTGAAACACAATGAAGAGGCATTAAATTTAGTCTGCCATTAAGTTGTTAACAAATGACTGGCCCTCTCTCCCTAGCTTCCTCTGTAGTAAATTTGCAGGTCGATCTTTCAAGCGCAAGTGGATCACACAGGCAAGAGAACATCTAACCACAGGTGGACCGTGGGAGCAAGACAGTGTCCCAAGGAAGAGACGTCAGCAGGTCTACATGCAATGGAAAGATGATGAAGAATCTGACCTCCTGCCTTAATGATTAACTAAGATTGTTTCTCCTTGTTCCATTTAAAAATTGTCATGACTGAGCAGGATCATCAAAGTTGGTCTCTGAACAGAAGTCCACCATCTCCTTGGACTGCTGACTTTTCTTCTTTATCAAAGCTTGCCCCTGAATTTATTGGCTGTTGAGCAGCAAGCAGCTAAGCCTGCACACAGTTATAATATGTAATTTGTTTGTTTGTTTGTTTAGTTGTTCAGTTGTGTCTGACTCTCTGCGACCCCCTGGACTATAGCCCACTAGGTTCCTCTGTTCATGAAGTTTCCCAGGCAAGAATACTGGAGTGGGTTGCCATTTCTTCCTCCAGGGGATCTTCCCAACCCAGGGACTGAACCTGCATCTCCTGCATTGCAGGCAGATTCTTTACTGACTGAACCACTGGGGAAGCCTCATAATATGTAACGCTTGCCATCAAAAGATGCCAGCCTATCTTTTCAGAATCATTCTTTTTCTGTTACTCTTGGGATTTTTAACACTCTCCATGATTCGCAGTCTCATCTTTCCCATCTCTGCTCATAGACAGAAAATGGAATTATTATGCATATTTGATGTTTACATTCTATAATCTTTCAGGTTCCCACTCAGACATGACTGCTTCATGACACCCTTTCCAAGCTCTAAAGTTCTGAGCAATTCTGAGGTGGGGTTTAATTCTGGCTTAACAGAGGTGGAGGTGCCAACAGATGGGTACTGGCCAACATTATTCAGACACAGCTTGTAAATTATCTTCCACAAATGTATCTTGGACAATCCATAAATCACCGAAATTGTTTTCCCTGTCAGCCTGTTCAAGGGCGAACTTCCCATCCTGGCTTCTTTATTACCTTCCAGCCAATATGTTCAGCTGATGAAAAAAAAAACAAAACTCGGCTGTTCCCAGACTTTGCCGTTTTTCTCCCATTTCTTAAATTTGTTACATAAAATTCATTTTTGCTTTAGTTCCATGCTCTCATATACGTGTAAACTCCTAATGTGTTAACTAATCAGACCCTCTTATAGTCTTCTCAGCCAGACCTATAAGGCCAATTTGACAAGATTCGACACTATAAATCCCGACCTAGACTTGGACCAGAAACAAACCACAACAAAGTTTCTTGTGCTTTTCTATTTGCCTCTAAACCACAGACAAAACCAGTCATCACAACCCAGTCCCTCTTCTCTCAGACTCAGCTTCCCACAGAAAGGAGCTCCTGCATTATCCTTGTATAAACTAGTCCACGTCAGGTCCATCTCTCTCAGACTGGGAGCGTCATGCTCTCAGAGTCTTCTCCTCCTGCTATATAGATATTTTTTTTATAATGAATCTTGTTTTTTAATCGTTGACTTTTTTTTTTTTCAATTTACTTATTTTTAACTGAAGGACAGTTGCTTTACTGCATTAGTTTCTGCCACACATCAACATGAATTAGCCATGGGTATACACATGTCTCCTCCCTCTTGAATCTTATGCCCACCTCCCACCCTTTCCTACCTCTCCAGGTTGTGACAGAACCCCAGTTTGGGTTTCCTGAGGCATACAGCAAATTTCCATGGACTATCTGGTTTACGTATGGTAGTCTATATGCTTCCATGCTACTTTGTCCATTCATATAGATACTGACACTCTTTTCAGATATCCATGTCCCACTGGACATGGCCCTGATTATAGGAGTTTTGATTTTGGCAAATAAAAAATGATTTTTAAAGTGTGGGTTTTTTAACTCGAGAGCTTCCAGACTTCCATCCTCCTGCCCAGACCCTGAATACCCAGAGCAGCAAGTTCAACAATCTCTGGGCCATTTCCAGTGGCTTATTTTATAAACGCAAAGTATAAAGTTCCAATATGGAATTTTTTTTTTTTAAACAAATTGAGGATTCCCTCACTCATGAGAAAAATGATTTTTCTCATTGGCACATCTGAATCTTCCTTGTTGCTTTCTTGTATTAGACCTTATCTCAGAATAACTTGGTTTATATTTACCACCAGCTGCCTTTCCCCCATCTTAGAAATCCCTGAATTTAATTCCCCTCTAAATGAGGTCTCCACTAGTCCTCCACATCCTCAAAGACAGGTATACCTTCCACACATTGGCTCAGGTCACTGATCCAGAATTTAATTTTCCCTTACAAAGTTTCCCTACCCAATCCGTCAGCAAGTCCTGTCCCCAGAATATCTTTTTGACTGCAGCACTGCTCAGAGATGTAGACTTTCGGGAGAAATCAGTTAGCTTCATTGAACCCACACTTAAAGTTTGAAGGATGTATATTGAAGTTTGAAAGGCAAGAATTCTGGAGTGTGTTGCCATTTCTTTCTCCAGGGGATCTTCCTGACCCACCGATTGAACCAGGGTCTCCTGCATTGCAGGCAGATTCTTTACCATCTGAGCCAGCAGAGAAACCCATGAGGATAGTTAAAAGGGGTGAAACAAAAAAAAGAAAAGGGGGTGAAACAAAATTGAGACCAGTGGTGAAAGTGATTGAGCTGATGAGCAGATGTCTTAGACTGAGTAAAGAAGTGAAGCCAAATAGCTGCTAATGGCTTGTGACAGAATGGGAGGGGGACAGGGGTGGGAGACTCTATGTGGCTGAGGACAGGGCAAGGGGGAAGGGAAAGTGAGGCAGAGAAACCTCTTTAGAACAAGATCTTTACAGGCAGGGTTTCTTTCAAGATCTCCTTGTACCTGAGGACATTTTAACTTCTTGAAGACTGTAGCGTCCTGAAGGTTGAAAGGATCTAGAGTACTTTATGGAATATGTGACACTGAGAGGTTCATTTGGCAGTGCAAAACAAGGCCCTCTCGGGTGTTATTAACAATTAATGCATTTAACAGTTTCCAGAGGCAGTGTCTTAAATGACTCAGAATAAAGTAGATCACCAGCAGATTATACTCACTTAGAACATTTTCCATCCTGGCTCATTGAGCATTCCAAGAAAGGGTTTAATGAGGTGGTGCATTAATCAGCCACCCCTGGGTCTGTATTGCTCCCTGAAATGGAGCTAATTCACTAATAAACAAATTTTCTAAAATATTCCTTACCTCTACACAGGATATATCAAGACGGATCACATGTCTCCAGCTGTTTACCTCAACCAACAAATATTTATTGATGAAATAAAGCTACATGAGGGGTGACTTAGCAATAATACAGCAGGCTGACTGGCAAAAGGACAAATCAGAATATAATTCTCAGCAGCATCATAGGAGGCAAGTGAAAATAAATTGTCAAAAGTAAGAGTAACAAATGCATGTGTATAATCAGCCACCCCTGGGTCTGTATTGCTCCCTGAAATGGAGCTAATTGACTAATAAACAAATTTTCTAAAATATTCCTTACCTCTACACAGGATATATCAAGACGGATCACATGTCTCCAGCTGTTTATCTCAACCAACAAATATTTATTGATGAAATAAAGCTACATGAGGGGTGACTTAGCAATAACACAGCAGGCTGACTGGCAAAAGGACAAATCAGAATATAATTCTCAGCAGCATCATAGGAGGCAAGTGAAAATAAATTGTCAAAAGTAAGAGTAACAAATGCATGTGTATAACAATTTATAAATCTTGTCATTTCTAGACAGCTTATTTGATTTTCACAACTATCATCAGTGCTGTTATTATCCCTTATTTTACAAATGAGAAATTGTGCTTGAAAGAGTTTGGTGACTTTCCTAAAGTCACTGGCAAGTAGTTTTTCCCCAAATGTACTTCATTTCCTAAATTTTCCAATAACAGGACATTTTGGAGGTAGCGTGTTATGTGGACAGGTTAGCAATGAAACAGCAGGACAGTGCCCTGGGAAGGACTCCAAACAGTGCTCCAAAGATTGGAGAGGTACGCATTTGCTAGGCTAGAACACTGGAGTGGGTTACCATTTCCTCCAGGCGATCTTCCTGATCCAGTGATCGAACCCACGTCTCTTGCATTTGCAGGCGGATATTTTACCACTGAGCCACCAGGGGAGCTTTAGGTGCAACAGGAGAATGCATTTCTACCATGGCTCCACCAGGTGGCAGTGAAGGTCACTAGAAGCAAGTGTCACCATAGACAGGATTTCAAGCAGTCAAAGCCTTGTCCAAAACAATGCTATTCTTTTAGAGTTACAAAAGCATGCATGTGCATATGTGTGCATGTCTGCATGTGCGTGCATGTGTTTGCAGGGCAGAGGAACTAAAACATGAATGGAATTGTTACAGCATTCTATTCAGTTTCCCATACTGTTAGTGGGTAGAAGAATGAAAGAAAGACCTTGATATTTGCACTTCAGTACTTCACTGTGCCCTCTTAGCCCATGTCTGTAATCCCACCCCTGGATTTTGGATGTCCAGTGAGGTATTACATGATGTCCCAAATTATCACTGTCATTTAGCATAAAAGTGAATGTTCTCACGAGAGGAAGGGTATGTGAATTCAGTGCATTAACAGCTCTGGCTGTGCCAATACGAGTGTCTTTCTCCACAAGTGTCCACCACCTGTTTGCTGCTAGGGAGACCAGCAGCTTGCAGCGTCCTCTGGGGAAAGCAACTCGATAGATGAAGGAATCCAAGGTACCTCTGGTGCTTTCCACTTCAGCGGTAATCAGCATCGCTACAGGTTAATTGCAATTTTTTTACCCCTGGATAAAAAAGAATTCTCAACAAGAGCATCCCTTAGCAGAAAATAGATGTATCTGGAAATGAAGAGTTAGAACCTATCTTTCCCAAAGAATGCTGTTTAGATGCCATCCTAACCCTTCTGAAAGTTAGTAAAAATTTTTCCATTTGTCTGTGAATATCTACCAACCCCGAGGACACCTCCAGTCCATTAATAAAACCAGATTTCAGGGGGTGGGAGGGATGTTCAAGAGGGAGGGGATATATACACACACATATATATATATATGTGGCTGATTCATGCAGTTGTGCAGCAGAAAACCAATACAATATTATAAAGCAATTATCCTCCATTAAAAATAAATTAAAAAGGAACTTCTAAGGTACTATGATTACTATACTTCAGCAGATGAAACATTAAATTAGAGAGAATTTAAATCACTTATAAATGTCATGTTTTCCCTATAAATCACTTATAAATGTAAATTATTTTGGTGTGCTAATTTTAAATTGTGTTGCAAGCAGGAACCAAAGAAGGAATGTTTAACATATTACAAGTGAAAATATGTGTAATAGAGTAACTGTTACTACTAGCAACTGGTGGCCATGTCTGTTTATAATTGCATTTCTTTTGCTGGGTCTATAGGCTTATCTCAAATTTAACATAAACAAAAGTTTTAGTAATTTGATTTGTTACAGCTAAATAAAATACAACAGTAAAAAGAAAAAAGGTCTCCATCAATTAGAAGAGTGTTGTACTCCGGGAGACTCTTTATCCATCGGGGGCAGTTGCTTTTCTTCTGGCACTGATGGTAGATCAGGTGCTTTCTGCCCGCACCTTGAAACAGTGAAGCGAGTCATGCGAAGTGCTTCCTCATACCCTGGGAGGGTGTCCAGAGAGGAGGGCAGCTGGCCCAGGGAGCTGTGGGAGTGAGCCACAGCCAGGATCCTTCGAGCCGCAGGGCCAAACACTGATTGCAGGGCTGGGCAGGAAAGAAGGACCAGAGTTCAAGTACATGTGGCATCTTCAGAAACCAGAGACTTACAGCACATGCAGTTCCCCTTTATTTATATTATTTTATTAAAAGGGTGTCTAGCTTCTGTCCCTCTTATTTATTTACTCATTGGCTGCCCTGGATCTTCGTTGTTGATCACAGGTTTTCTCCAGTCGCGGTGAAGAGGGGCTACTCTCTAGTTGGACGTGGGTTTCTCATCGCGGAGGATTCTCTTATTTCAGAACACAGGCTCAGTAGTTGAGGAGGACAGGATTAGTTGTCCCACAACATGTAGGATCCTCCTGAACCAGAAACTGAACCCGTGCCTCCTGCATTGGCAGGCAGATTCTTTATCACTGAGTCCCCAGGGAAGCCCAATCACCCTTCATTTTAAACAAGTGTCAAAACTCATTGTCACTCTTGGCAACAGATGTTATAAAAGTCCTGTAAAGCTTGTGTAGAAACCAACTTCCCTCTTTGCTTTCTCAAATAATCTAAAATGTGTCCCCACATCTCATAACCCCTTTCTTTCCCCTTTACGAATTTAGAACCCTTTATGCCAACCCACTGAAGTTGCAGATCCCTTCGAAGTAATTGTTTCTGCCTATTTATCTTTCCCCGTGGACTGACAGCGAGAAAAGAAGCAGGAAAAGGTTAACAATATGCTATAGTGCTCTCTCTTTTCAAAATAAATATCACAGGATATTGCCACCTGCTGTTCTGCCCAATAGGTCACTCTCCAATTTGAGGGAAAGAATATAATCCAAAGAAGAGAACAGAGGGAAATAAAGGAAAGTGTCTTATAACTATTGAGTATTGGGCCTAATATTTAACAGAGTAAGACCTGGTGAATAAAGAATTGAAAGTATCCCATGACTAATTTTTCTAAAGATAAAAAATATAGTATAGTTGAGAGAAAATATAAGTTTGGTTTTCACAAAATCTAAGATGTTTTCAAAAAAGGGATATGTGCAGTGCTTAACATAGTTCTATCAAAGTAATTGTTTATAAACTTGGAAATTTTTCCTATAAGACATTTCTCTAACATTTCACTTCTTCCTTCATTCCATCATCAGACCAAAAGTACAGCATCCGTGAGAGACAAGGTCACCACACCATCAGGTGTCTGGAAATTAAAGCTGCCCCAAGATTTAGAATCTTTAATACTATTCCCTCTTGGTACAGCGGGCTTCTCTGGTGGGTCAGCTGGGAAAGAATCCACGTGCAATGCAGAAGACCTGGGTTTGATCCCTGGGATGGGAAGATCTTTCCTGGAGAAGGGAAAGGCTACCCACTCCAGTATTCTTGCCTGGAAAATTCCATGGACAGAGTCAGATACAACTGAGTGACTTTTTCTTTTTCTTTCTTGATACAGCGGATAAGAAAATCGACCGGACAATGCAGGGGACACGGGTTCCATTCCCGGTCCCCAAAGATTTCACATGTCACGGAGCAACTAAACCCCTGTATCTGCTGAACTCTGCTTGCCAACCAGAGGAGCCATCGCAATGCGAAGCCCTCCCACCGAAACCAGAGAGTGGCCCCTGCCTGGGGCAACTAGAGAAAGCCCGGATGCTGCAACGAAGACCCGGTGCAAGCTAAAATAATACGTGAATAAATAAATAAATCTAAGACTGTTCGATCAATGTTTTTACACCTTCGCACTAGATGTTCTCTTAAACCTGGCTTCACTTCCCGTGTTGCGCGTCCGTGTACTCACAAGTGACCGTGCTCTGGAGAGTGCTGTCATGATCAAAAGCGATGACCGTCACTTCATAGGGTGGCCGGCCCTCCTCTTCCCCATTTTGCTGGCGACCCAGACAGCAGCGGAAGCACACAGAAATCAGACCACACAGGAGAAGCAGTGCCCCGATGACCACGAGCAACCTGCAAGGACCCCACGGAGTAGTGAGAGCTCTGTGCTCCTCGTTTGGCTTTGTTTTTTAGACCAATTTGCAGAATCAGTCTTCAATGTCTACATTTTTAATTCTTGCTTGAATATTTTTTAGAATGCTTTAAGATTTCAGCTCCCAGTGTCATATATATATACTTCCTTATTTTGTGAGCAAGACTAAGTCAGTTCACTTGAACAATTCATGAGAGATTTAAATGCGTTTTGGAGGGGCAGATTTTTACTGAAGTAATCTCCTTTCTGTGGCTATTTCTAGAGTTGACCCTGTGAAAGTACACAACAATCTGTTGATGTTGGCCCAGGAGATGGTATTGAAATAGGAAATCCTGCCATATTGTCACATAGGTTAGTGATGAGGAAAAGAGGCTTTACTCTGTGAGATGTTAGGTAAGTAGGCTCGATATCTCAGATTTTTTCCCCCTGTTGTCAATATATTTAAAAATGAAAAAAAAAAAACTTAAAAAATAAAACCCCCCTGAGAAAAGCTTTCTTTTAAATGTCTTTTTGGGTAACATAGCTGAACTTACCATATATACCAGAGATGTACCCAATCTGTGGTCAGGCAGCTATGGAAAAAGAATAAAAATTTTATTTTGCAATAAAAATATAATCAATGCCAGTTATACTTTCAGAATCAGAAATATGAGTTACAAAATTGTATATCTTTATAATAAAAGCTTTACAGATTATGTTAACTTCAGTGTAACCAGCTAAATCTATCATGAAATGGGATGCCTTTAGTAGTGGTTTAGGCATGCGTGCATGCTGTTGCTTCAGTTGTGTCTGACTTTTTTGCAACCCTATGGACTGTAGCCTGCCAGGCTCCCCTGTCCATGGGATTTTCCAAGCAAGAACACTGAAGTGGGTTGCCATGCCCTCCTCCAGGGGATCTTCCCAACCTAAGGATCGAACCTGAGTCTCTTACCTTTCCTGCATTGGCAGGCAGATTCTTTACCACTAGTGCCACCTGGGAAGCCCAGAAGTGGTTTATACCATCATGTAAATCACTATAAGACAGACTAAACTAGTTATCATGAAAGTAATGTTAATAGAACATGTAACCACAATCATTGTAAACAGTTTTGATGATGATTATCAAGAAAGAACTTGTAGAGTAAGCTTACAAAGAGCGAAAATGAATGTGACAGTTAAGGTTTGTATATATTTGAAGTCAATAGTTTAAACATAAAGAATATTTCAATTATAAGCATGAACATTTATAATTTGTTTTACAAGCTGTTGCAAAAAGGGCGACCATATAGATAAACAACAGATTCCTACTATATAGCACAGGGAACTGTATTCAATGACCTGTAATAATTTATAATGGAAAAGAATATGCAAAAATATATATATAATTTAATCTTTTTGTTGTACCCTAGAAACTAACACAATATTATAAATCAGCTATATTTTGATAAAAAATAAAAAGCAGAAACAAAGGGGAAAAAAAAAGAAGGGGGTCACAATAAAACCATAAAAACTCCCACTATAAAAAGGGCTTTAAATTTTCACATCCAAGATCAAAACTGGTAAGCATATCCACTGAGGCCAAACAAGAAGGGGTGGGAGGGGAATGTAAAAACCAACTCCATCATGATGAAAGCTAATCAAATACTCTGAATGAACTAGGGCAATTATCAATTTTCTCTACAGGATGAAGAAAATATGGATTGCATAGGACAAGAAGTGGGATAAGTTTACAAGTGGGAAGAGGAGGGGAAGGAAAACATTTGTTTGTTACTAAAGACAATTGTTAATGTATTTAATAATCCTTTCTGATATAGTGATCTGTTGAAATCTATTGAAATCTACTTCTCTATCCTCTCTGCACAGTTGTAGACCATACAGTTTGTTTCATCAATGAACAGTGTCTCTTAAGTGTCCTCACATTTCTCATTCATTCAAAGCCCCTTCCAGTTCTACAGTGCTATGATTCTGATTCTGTTAAAAGTAACCCTTCTACAGTGGTAGGCGTGTGAAACCTCAAAGAGCATGAGACAAGTAATGAAGGCCATTGCCATTCCCCCTGGGTTTAACAGACTTGGCTGTTGGGAAACTCTTTCCATGGCTAAATATGTATTTTTCTTCAGCCTAAGCAAGTCTTTTATTCAAACTGTCCCTGCTTCCTTTAAACCATTTACCTCCAAGAGGAATGAATCTCTTCCCTTTTTTATCTTGGTGTCCTGTGTCCACATGAGTCCTAATTGTGACAGATTTAGATGGAGGGATAATCACCTCAAGTGAGAGCTAAATGACACCTGCAATAAATATTGTTGTTACTGTGGTTATTGTTTAGTCTCTAAGTTTTGTCTGACTGTTGACACCCCATGGACTGTAGCCCACCAGGCTCCTCTGTCCATGGGATTTCCCAGGCAAGAGTACTGGAGTGGGTTGCCATTTCTTTCTCCAGGGGATTTTCCTGGCTCAGGGATTGAACTTGCATGTCTCTTGCGTCTTCTGTGTTGGCAGGCGGATTCTTTACCACTGAGCCACCAGGAAAGTCTGATAAATATTAACATGCCCTAAAAAATAGGAAATGCTCTGTAGATCTGAAATGGTGATTCTAACTCTGGCAATCACCCAAGTTTATCTGTCTGAGTCTAGTGAATTCTGTCTGTCCCAGTGAGTCACTGAGAAGCATGGGAAAGAAAATCTTTCGCAAATCTCTGTGACTGTATAAACTGAGATTAAGTGTGCAGTTTTGATAGGAAGATTGGCTTTGGAAAAAAAATGCTGTCAGCAGTATTATTCTGAGTGTTTAGGATGACAGGAATGCTTGTCTGTTTTTGGAGAGCCCCGTCTGTGAGATTAGTGGGTGGAGGCCCATTTCAGTAGAAATAGGGAAATCACAGCTACCTAATGACATTTTGACCCTGTTTGGGGTGTTGATGTTTCTGTCTGTCTCGCCTTCCTTCCGCTGAGCACTCTCAGATACTTACTGTTGAGGACTGACACAGTTCTCCTCACATCTTGCCCGAGGAAGCTGTAGGAAGGGAAATAATCTCAGACAGGGAAATGGTCTCATTTGCTCGGCTCAGCAGCCTATGTGGCCTCATGACTGAGGTTAGCCGGTGAGGTTGAAGCAAATACAAGGACGAGGTCATAGGGTCAATCATGGTTAGGACTGTTTTCATCTCTCCTATGCCTGATCCTTATTAAATTCAAAATGGGAAAACCTGTAAGAGCAAATGTCTACTCTGATTTGGTTCTTTTTTTTTTTTTTTTGGTGGTGGAGAGGGAGCATCCCTGACTTTGTGAATGAGATGCAGTATTTATACCAATTTGTTCGTCTTAGAAACTTTCTCATTTGTCCCCCAGATAGATCCTTCAAATTCTCAGTTACAAGCTGAATTCAACCCCAGTGCTCTTTTTTATTTCCTCTGTACATCAATAACCCACTGGCAATACTTCAATCTAAAATTAAAAGTTAAAAAAAAAAGCAGCTCAGTGCCTTCGTGGTGGTGATTCTGTATTTAATTCTGTGTAGTACTATTTACAATCCAAGTAAAGCATTTTGAAAATATGACTTAAGATTAAGCTGGATATGTCATTCAGCTTGTTCAGAGGGCAAATATTAAAACAAAAACAAAAAACTCACCATGCAGGAGAAGGGGAGAAGGGAGTGAAAGAACTATTTATTGAATAGCTACTCTCTGCCAGCCAGATTGCTAAGAACTTTTAAGATTTCATAACATTTTGGCACAATAACCATGCCAGTTTGTTAATTACAAAGTAATTAACATTACTTTGAAATGTTTAGGGTTTAAGGCATAGAAATTTAAGTAATATGACTAACTGCACATACCTATAGATTTGGCCAGAATTCCAAACCAAATTCTATCATATGTTCATGTTGAATGAATTACTAGAACCAGAGACAAATCTACTCTAACTCCTTGATATTGCTGTCAGGTCCCTCTACTCCAAGGAAAGAAATCTTCCACCCCCTCTTCTAGGTATTTTTCAGTTGACTTTCTCCTTCCAAGCCTCTCTAGGTAAATTTTTGTTCTAAAAACTGTTTCACTCTTCCAGTAATTTGGATGATTTGATATTACAGGAAATCAACAATAAATGCCACAAAATTTCTCTAAAAAGAGATGGAAATTTGTATTTCTTGAGAATTGGGAGCAGGGGGACACACAGACTCATGACATCGGGTGAAAAGGACTTGTAAAAGGACTAACAGCTGACTTCTGCAAAAAACACTTGAGAAACTCCTGGTTTCCCTAAGGGACAAAGTATGGGTTTCCTCCACCCATCCACGGGACTTCGTTTTGCTTTCTTTACTAAAGGAAAACAAAAATAAAAAAGCCTAAAGTAGTTAGTAGATAAAACATCCCTTTTCAAGCCTGTTGCAAAAAGAGAAGAAATGAGAAAAGAAATTTGGAAGGGAAGGACAGGAAGAGAAGAGAAAGCCAAAAGAAAATACAAGAAAAAGATATGGTTTCAGGCACTCAATTAACTGGTATATAGGAAGCAAATAGACAGCACCCTTCCTGTCAGGAGCTGTCCAGAAATTGAAAACCAACCCATTTCATCACTTGCTTTTCTTCTTAGTAGATTTCATAACTGAATAAACTTCTCTCTGACAATGGTCTGGAATCCCTCAGTCCAATGACCCTTTCTCAATTGAGTTACTTAGAATCTTCTGTTTCACAATGGAAAGAAATAAAAGGTCCAAATTACTTTTAAAGAGTTTTCTCTCTCTTATCTCAGACCGGGAGGCACCTAAACTGCTAGAGCGGTATTAAGGCTGATGTGGGACATACCATTTAGGAGAATTATGTCCTTAGTTTTAATAATTTACTTGAGAACCTTTTTTTCTTTTTTTTGGCCACATGAGTGGCTTACTTTTTGGACCTTAATTCCCCCACTAGGGATTGAACCTGTGCCCCCTGCAGTGGAAGCATGGTGTCCTAACCACTGGGCCATCAGGGAAATCTCAATAATTTACTTGAGATTTTGAGGGCTAGGTGATAAGATGCTAAAAGAGAGAAATATACATAACAGACACTTCTAAATTGCCTTCACTATTCTACTTGTATATATGTCCTTCTTTTCATTGATGTCATTAGTCACAGGTCACTATGTAACCCTATAGTACTAAGGGAACATTCTAGTTAATTCTTTTTCCCTACCACCCCTTTGGTTCAAAAGTATATGTCTTTCCCCCTCATTCATTTTTCCACCAGTTCTTCTGAAAGTTGACTTATCTGAGAAACAAACAAAAGTCTCATTCCTGCATTTTCATGACTCACCTGGGTGAAATACACCAGGGCAGAGGCCATCAGGGCTGGGGAGTGCAGTCCCATCTGGCTGGACTCTTACTTCTCCAGATCAAGCACTGGGCATCCGTCGTCTCCTTTCTGTGGTCCAGCCCATGTCTGACTTCTTGACCTAGAGGACTTAAGGAGAGAAACTTCTCTGAGCAATAAGTTGGTTTTTCCTCCTCTGCCTCTTTCTCTCCTCTCACTCTCTGTAGTTGTTATTTCCTGTAATTTTTCTCTCCCCTTTCATCCTAGCTTCTTTCTCTACTTCTGCCCCTGGGTTTAAGGTCTCTACATTTGCTTCCCTGCCCCTCCTTTTCTTCCATTCTACTTTTAGTCCTTTCTAGATGCCTTGAACTTTCTCCACACTGCCTCCAAAAGGATGACTTGCAGGAAGGACACGCAAGTCCTGTTAATTAGGTATTTTTCTAGGCCATGGTGAGAAACTGGACTTGAAGGAAGATCAAGGGGAGACCAAATAAAGTCTCTTTTCCATCAGAAAAGGAGTAATATTCTTGGCCCTTCACCCAAGCACTCCAGGATGACTGTTGCTGGTTGAAAGTCACCCTGCCAACCTCCATTCACACCGCCTCTCCATGTGATTAGCCCTCCTCTCTTGCTCTTGGAAACCACCCTCCTTCACTATGTTGATAATCAACTCTCCTGGTTCTGGGTCATTTATTCCTAGACACTGAAGTGGGGCTGAGAGGTTGCCAAATGAACTGGAAAGCTATAGCATCTTTGGAAAAGCAAGTTTGGAAATTAGAATTTCTGGATGCTGTCCTTGAAGTTGCCCTCCACACTGACCTCAATTCTCATTGAAATAGTGAAAAATCAAACAGACATTTCTAAAACAAGACTCAAGATCTATATGTCTCTCTCTCTCTCTCGTATAATCTAAAGTCAGAGCCAAAATAAGTACCCATGGAAAAGACATAGAATATTTATAGAGATTCACCTCTCTAGGGACAAATGAATGTTGTATAAATGATGTGTGCTTAAGCAAGTAATCTTTTAATACAAAATATTAAGAATGTTTTTTAAAAATAAACTATTTAATAGGAAAATTGGACATTTGTTTACAGGGATCTATCTCATAAAAATTGCGGGGAGAAAAAAAAAGCAACTTTCATATCCTTTCTAACTCTGAAAATCTGATTTTACTGAGTTATTGAGAGAAGACCACTGGGGGCAGTTGGTTCTAAAAACCCTCATGCAGCATAACAGTGTGATATGAGAATGGAGAATATAAACTCAATTTTCTTTCTTAGCCAAGGAATTCAAATAGTGAGAGAAAAAGTTGATACAATACTGATGATCCAAAATCATTCATTTTCAGAAATAAATGAACACTATGTCATTTTTAAAAAACATAACAGTATGTTCCAAATTTCAGCAGAAGAGGGGCCAGGTAGGAGGCATTTTATAGGACAAAGGGGGCAGAATCTTGGCCCTTCACTAAATTATCATATAGTTTCTCAGTCCTCAATTTTCCGATTCATAAACTAGGAATGGAATGCCCATGAGTTCTGCCCTAGATGTTGTTTCATAGAGAAAATACAATCAGAGACATGAAGGCACTTTGATTGGAGTATTTCTATTCAGAGTGTGATGTAGCATCATTTAACTTGCTCTTCTCTTTTTCTTGTCAAAGAGACAGTGGGGCATCATGGCTAAGACTCCAGCTACATTGTCTGTGGGGTGAAATACTTACTTGGTCACTTATTAGCTGTGGGATCTTGAGCAAGATATTACATCTCTCTGTTGGCTCAGTTGCATCCTATATAAAATGGATAATAGTAATAATAATAATTGTTGTTGTTGTTCATTGTTCAGTCACTAAGTTGTGTCTAATTCTTTGTGACCCCATGAACTGCAGCACACTAGGCTTCCTTACCCTTCACTGTCTCTCAGAGTTTGCTCAAACTCATGTCCATTGAGTTGGTGATGCCATCCAACCATCTCATCCTCTGCCTCTGCTGCCCTCTTCTCCTCCTGCCCTCAATTTTTCTCAGCATCAGGATCTTTGCCAATGAGTCAGCTCTTTGCATCAGGTGGCCAAAGTATTGGAGCTTCAGCTCCAGCATCAGTCCTTCCAGTGAATATGCAGGGTTGATTTCCTTTTGTATTGACTGGTTTGATCTCCTTGAAGTCCAAGGGACTCTCAAGATTCTTTTCCAGGACCATAATTCGAAAGCATCAGTTTACTTCAGACACTTATGCTGGCTCAGATGGTAAAGAATCTGCCTGCAATGCAGGAGACATGGAATCAATCTCTGGGTTGGGAAGATATCCTGGAGAAGGGAATGGCTACCCACTCCAGGATTCTTGCATGAGGAATCCCATGGAGAGTCCAGCCTTGTGGGCTACAGTCCATGGGTTTGCAAAGAGTCAGACATGACTGAGCGACTAACACTAACTTTTATACACTTAGAGAGATTAAATATGTTAATGTGTATGAAATGCATATACCGTGAATGTAGTGAAAATCGCTCAGTCATGTCTGACTCTTTGCGACCCCATGGACCATATCCGCCAGGCTACATATACTAACCCTGATATGAAAAAAATATTTTGTGAGTGTTAACCAAGATTATTTTGATTTTCACTCAGTTTTAACAGTGACTTTTACCCTCAATAGACTGGATAACATGTCCTCCTGCTTCATGTATTGTCACCATGACCTTGTTTTAGCTTTCCTAGGATTCCTGTTCTTGAATATTTCCCCTTGGTACCCTGGCCCTCTTCTCTCCCAATCATGCCAGCCGTCACCTGCATAAACAGGTTTTCCTATTAACATGACATTTTCAACCCCATTGCACTTTCCCGCCTTGTGATTGCCATCATCTCTTTGCCCTCCAGCTTCCTAACAAGTTAGAACAAATGAGATTCTGTTAATGACCTTCTAGTTATTTTTCTTAGAATTACTGCTGCCGCTTCCCCTCCCCCACCCCTCCCACCACTGGGTTAGAACTCCTTGTTTATTCAAATGGAAGTGATTATGCCTTGTGGCAGTTTTAACTCCGAGTTCAGTCTCTGTCAAAGCATCCATGTAGGGACTGATGAGAGAGGAGAGAAAATGCAAGTGAGAAGATTGAAGACAGTCTGCATTGGAAGGGCAGGTGGCTGAGCCAGAAGGGAATGATCTCATTACAACCCTACACAATTCTGTGGTTCCATTATGCTCGTGAATCATTAGCTTGTACCCAGGTTGTTAAGGACGTGGTGTGGAACCAATGGAGGGGGCTGTACACAGGTCTTTTCACCTATGCTTCAGGGAATTGTTATACAATACCTGTAATAAGTAGGGCTAAGGAATTTCTTATGTCTGGTTCCTTTGATTATTCTCCTTTGGAGCTTGCCTAGGTCAGGTCAGTGTTTTTGTTGCTGTTGTTGTTTAGTCACTAAGTTGCAACCCCATGGACAGTATGGATCTTCAAAAATAGATACTATAACAGGAGAAACCAGTTCCATCTTACAACTACTGGAAGCTCCACCAGGAAGACAAAATATAGCGTGTCTATTTTACAAACCAATATTGCAGTTTAAGTATTGAATGGCAACTTCAGAGGCACTGAAAGTCAGTGATAGGACTAGACTCAAGGAAGTTTAACAAAATAGGAGGATTAAGATTATCATAGAACTATTGGTTTTATATGCCATGTAACACATTAATACAAATTATGTAAGCTGCAATGTAAAATGATATACATTTATTATTTCACAAGATCTGTTGGCTCAGAAATGTGGGCACAGTTTAGTTAGAACCACTCCTTAGGGTCTCATGAGGCTGTGCTCAAGGTACTGGCTGACTTGCATTCTCACTGAAAGGCTTAACTGGGAAAGGATTCATTTCTAAGCTCCCCTAGGCAGAATTCATGCACATTTGTTTCTTGAGATAGGCATGGTACCTTGTGTAACCACATATACATGATCACATACATTATATCACCTTTACTTCATCCCAAACCATAAATTCCACCCACATTTAAGAGGAAGAGATTGCACAGGAATAGTGAGAACCACTTACAGTCTATCAAGTCTGTCCAGCTATCTGCCACATGAAGATTGTAGAAATTACCCCCAAGGCTCTTTCCAAAACAGAAAAAGACAAAAACTCCTCAACGAATCAATGGATAAACAGATGTGACATACTTATGCAGTGGAATATTATTCAGCCTTAAAAAGGAAGGAAATCCGACAGTTGCTACAACGTTACTGCTGCTGTGTCTATGCCCTAGCCATGTCTGACTCTTTAACTGCATGGACTGTAACTTGCCAGGTTCCTCTGACCATGGGATCCTCCAGGCAAGAATATTGGAGTGGGTTGCCGTTTCCTTCTCCAGGAGATCTTCCTGACTCAGGGATTGAATCCACATCTTTTGCATTTTCTGCACTGCAGGCGAGTTCTTTACCACAAAGTCACCTGAGAAGTCCATATACTGAAACACTGGAAGAATCTTAAACACATTATGCTAAGTGAAATAAGACAGATATAAAAGGACAAATATAAACTTTCACTTGTATGAGGTTCCTAGAGTAGTCAAGATTCATAAAGGCAAAAAACAGGATGGTGGTTTCAGGAACTGGGAGGAAGAAGAAATGGGGTGTTGTATGAGTCAGAGTTCTCCAGGGAAATGAAACCAATAGAATTTCTATATATACCTAAAGAGATTTATTATAAGAAATTGACTCATTCAATTTTAGAGGCTGACAAGTCTGTATCTGTAGTGTGAGCTGGCAGGGTCCAGACATAGGATAGTCAGTGATGCAGTTCCTGTCCAAGTCCAAAGACTATCTCTTGGAGAGTATTTTTTTCCTTTTTTGGAGAAAGGCTAGTCCTTTGTTCTATTCAAGCTTTCAACTGATTGGATGAAATCCACTCACATGGAGAGAAATCTGCTTTACTCTACTGACTGAAATTGTAAGTAGTGTTAGCTGCTTAGTCGTGTCTGACTCGTTGCTACTCCACCAGACTTCTCTGTCCATGGGATTTTCCAGGCAAGAATATTGGTGTGGGTTCCCAACCCAGGAATCAAACCAGGGTTTCCTGCACGGCAGGAAGATTTTTTACCATCTGAGCCACCAGGGAAGCCCATATTGAAATGGTAATTGAAATGGTTCAGTTCAGTTCAGTTCAGTCGTTCAGTCAGTGTCCGACTCTTTGTGACCCCATGAATCGCAGCACGCCAGGCCTCCCTATTCATCACAAACTCCCAGAGTTTACTCAAACTCATGCCCATCGAGTCGGTGATGCCATCCAACCATCTCATCCTCTGTCGTCCCCTTCTCCTCCCCCCAACAATCCCTCCCAGCATCATGGTCTTTTCCAGTGAGTCAACTCTTCACATGAGGTGGCCAAAGTGTTGAAGTTTAAGCTTCAGCATCAGTCCTTCCAATGAACACCCAGGACTGATCTCCTTTAGGGTGGACTGGTTGGATCTCCTTACAGTCTAAGGGACTTTCAAGAGTCTTCTCCAACACCAGTTCAAAAGCATCAATTTTTTG